CACACTGGGAGGTCACACTGGGAGGTCACACTGGGAGGTCACACTGGTTCAGCAGATCAGTGTTTCCAGATCAAAACAGTAGAAGCAGAATAGCCAGTCACACAGATAGCAACTTTAAAGGAATAATGACAGACTAATGAAATGTCATGATCATGAAGACAAGATCAAAAGAAAAGTGATAAAAGCACAAAAAAATCCAAGGAAACCCCCAGGAAGAATAACATCTTAAAACAGTAAACTAAAGAAAACAGATATATGAAGCTGGAAATATGGTGCTGCATATCAATACATTTTAGAATTTCTCCTATTACGAATGCAAGTTGATAAACACAATCATGAAATTCTAAAGCTAAATCCAATCTTTCAAGATTGCTTCATTCTCCCACAAACTTGGTAGCCCAGGCGCAGGCTCAAGCTCAGAAAGGTAAAGGCACCTCAGATTTCACTACCTCATACTGAGGTACTGAATGAAGATATAGGAAAGCAGCTCAACTGCAGAGCTTTTTTGCAAGAGGTATGATGGGAAAAGGAGAAAGAAAAAGTGTAAATTACTGAATGCTGGATTTTTGTACTGCATTTCTAAAATACACAAAATAAAATAGTGCTGCACGGATGAAACACTTGCAGAAAGATTAAATATTGGATTTTGTTCAGTGAAGTGTAAAAAACATTCTACTGGATTGTTGTGGCATTTGACAATTTTAAATGTTATGTACTAACGGTGTATCATGATCAAATTTGGGTAAAGCCTGGAGGGGCCTCATCTCATAACCATAGTTTCTAAACCCATAACGATGATTCAGGTCAATCCGCACTGACACCTCAATGAATTTAATGGCCTTTTTATAATAAGGTGCCCAAAACTCGACCCTACTCTAACTAGCCAAACTATTTTTGCACGTAATGGATATTATTTCTTTCTCCTTGCACGCTGTTCCCTGAAGGGGAATTGAAGGATCCCGTGGTGTGACAGCTGAAAATCTGCCATCGTTGATGACCTTTTTGAGCATTAAGAAATCCATTTCATATTATTTCATCATTTTAACATATCCCTCCAGTACAATCTATTTCAAACTGCAGTGAGATCCCTTTCTCTTTAAAAGGAGGATGGTTTAAATATAAAGGTGTAACACAAACTACTTCCACTTAATTTGGTCTTGTGGAGATCGCCATTTTTAAAAAAAATTAACTGGTCTCCATTAGCTAGAAGTGTGGTCACTGTGTATAGTTATTAAACTTTCCTATACATCAAGATAGGGACTAGCTGGATTACAGGATGATATGGTAAAGACTGATCAAGCCCAAGCTCAAACACGAGAGGGGTAAGGCAGGGACCTAACAGGGATTATGAAGGAAAAACTCATACTGTTTTATTATCCCATGCTCTATTTAATCCTGACTAGTTACTTGTCATTGTATGTAATCCTAACTAATTATTTCCTATTCTATGAGGTCCTTCATTACATTTCTTGGTGGTAGAAAACAGAATGACTGAACACATTATTCTTATTCAATAAAGTCCCTGCTCTTTTACTGAGCCAAAATTCTGGAACTCCCTTCCTGAGGAGGATCTGGTCTCTCTCCACCAGATGGTCTGCAGTGGTTCAAGACTCACGACCATTTTCACAAGGCCAATTAGAGATGGATAATAAATTCTGGCCTAAACAATGACATCCACGTATCATTAAAGAATAAATAGAAAATACCGAAAACTGGCACAGAGTTTAATGCAGCTAATGACTCGTCAGGCTCAACAGCAGTTGGAATACTTGAATGGATCACTACCATGTAACCTACTGTCAGATGTTATCCTCTCCACAACTGTCAAAAATTAGGGCACACAAAGAGGTCATTAAGTCCAGTGTATCTGTATCAGCAAGTGTTAACTTACTGTTTCTGCAGCAGATGCTGCTGTTGTTGCCTGTAGTTTTCAATCGTGTGCTGTGGCAGTAATTGCATCAGTTCCAGTGACTCTTTAATTTTCAGCAATACTTCGTAAGTCTCTCGTCCTCTTATCTGAACAACAAGAAAAGTGTAATTGGTCAGATACAGAGGAGGAACAAGTGACAGTTACATTTACATAGTACTTTTTGCAGTGAAAATTTGCAGGTCTCAGGATAAAGACTGAAATTTGGTAATTGATGAATGGTGGATTGATCAAAAAATTTGGCTGTGAACAGGTTGTTGAAGGTTGAGAGAGGCAGCCAGAGGGATTGGTTTTGTGGAAGAGTTCTACAACTTAAGAATACAGCAGTTAAAGGTTATTCCACAGGACATAGCAAAATGGGAAAAGATTTGGGAGGCTCAGAGGAGTTTAAGCACAATTCAGGAGTTAGAAAAGATGGACACCATTAAATAAATATATCAAGAGCAGGTACGAAGAGGGGATAACAGCTTGTCAGTGTCAAGGTTTACAGGCTTCATTCTATTTGTTTACTGAGGGAACTCACATGCATCAGGATTACGATAAGAGAATTTAGAAATAGATACATGTAAAATGGACCTTTCAGCTTGAGTTCCCTAATAACTAAAATTCATGACGTGTAAATCAAGACACGTTTTTGCATTGAGAGAGAGGCAGGAACAGTGAAAACTGGAGAGCGTGTGCATCGAGAGATAGATGGTATGTTTCAACACCATGCCACTTCAGTGAATATCAGAACTGAATGGTACCATAATACTTTGGGCATAGAAATCCCAGCCAGTCCTAAGAAAAGACAATGCAATATGGCAATTAACATTTTAGAACTGCTCCAAAAAGTTGACAAATACAGATCTGTGGCATGTTGTTCAAAAAAGTTGGCTGAAACAGTACTTCTTCAAATTGGCAGTCTGTATATTTCCAATCAGTTGGATCGTAAATTCTAGAGGAGAAATTCAAGTAAAAGTTTGAAAACCTACTGGCAAATAAAACAACTCCTCATCGCCGGGTCGTCGTTTCTTATTAGTGATTGAGGCTACCTGGATCCCCTGGTTCACATGACGGACTGTAAGAAAACATTAAAAAGAACTCTCTTAACAGCATGATTGCCAAACATAAGTGAACATCAGCATCAATATCATTCACTCACATGAACTGGAATAGCACTGATGGCAAAATCACCTGCTTCCCTGACTTCTACAGTTCTCCTGCCAGTACTGTGGCAAAGGCATAGATGACACCCTGCTAATGCATGTTGATGTGGCTTTGTTGTCCCTCCATGGTTACAGATCTGGAGCAGCCCTGAAGAAATTCCAGGGTTTGGTTTTCACATGGTGCAGAGCAGTAAAAGTCTGTGGAAAAAGTGCTGGGACAAGGGAAAGACAGATTGTACACAGTATTTTGTTTGCCTCTTCTGCAGTTGCTGTTTGTCAAAGTTTTCATTGAAGAGCACTGTCCTTAGCAGTAATGCAAAGCACTGCCACACACTGTAATGTGGCATCAAGACCTAGTCCCGTGCATGCCACCTGGCTGTCACAGTCAGCTACCAAGTGAGGACTGTGTAATTAAATTAAAACCCCACCTTTTTAAGAAGAGCTCTTTCATTTGTGTCGCTGTCCTGTTTTTTGTGATCACTAGTCACAAGTCCTCAGTGTGCAGAAATGAAAATGTGCAAAGAATAACATAGCTATGTCACACACTTGCAGCCAAGGTTGACAGGTTTGTGTGGAGCTGGTAAGGGCTGATGTGATTGAATGGGCTTGGTCAGTAGAGCATTGGGAACTCTCTAACAGTTCTCCATGGGACAGTGGGTAATAGAAGTCAAACTCATCTACAGCATTGGGATAACCACCTATACAAATCATGATGGAGTTGTACCCGTCCAAATCCAAGGGACAGGCACAACTTTAAAAGGAGTCCCAGTAGTTACTTACGCCGCTTGCTAGTGTCGACACCTTTTGTTCCTTCTGTCACTTGTTGTTTGCGTATGCTGTCTTCATCTGCCTTGCGGTCACGGCCAGGACAAGCGCAAATACGAGCTTCAAAGCAACGCCGGCCAAGAACCTGACCACTAGACGCAAAAGAATGAGACATTAACACATACCATTAAATTAAAACCATAAGACACAGGAACAGAATCAGGCCATTTGGCTTATAGAGTCTCCGCTGCTATTTAATCATGGTTAACATATTTCTCCATCCCATTTTCCTGCCTTCTCCCTGTAACCTTTGATCTCCTTACCAATCAAGAACCTATCTAACACTGTCTTAAATACATTCGATGTCTTGGTCTCCACAGTCCTAAGCAGTAATGAATTTCACAGGTTAACCACCCTTTGGCTGAAGAGATTCCTCATTTCAGTTCTAAACTGTTGCCTCTTTACTCTGAGGCTGTGCAGTTGGGTCCTAGTCTCTCCTACTAGCAGGGGCATCTTTCCACATCCACTCTAACCAGGCCTCTCAGTATTCTGTAAGTTTCAATCTGATACCCCCTTGCCCTTCTGAACTCCATCAAGTACAGACCAAGAGTCCTCAATCGTTCCTCATCTAACCCTTAATGTGTTTCTTCTTCTTTGGATGAATTTCTGCTGTGCCTCCTGAATTACTCCGAAAAATTCCTGCCATTGCTGCTCCACTGTCTTCCCCGCTAGGCTCGCCTTCGGAATACCTCTGGCCAGCTTCTCCCTCATGTCTTAGTATTACAATTGAGTGATGGTAACTACAGTCACATCCAATTCCAGCTTCTCCCTCTCAAGCTGCAGGGTGAAGTCCATCCTATTACGGTTACTGATACCTTGGGGTTCCTTCACCTTAAGCTCACTAATCAAGTCTGACTCATTACATGTCCATAAATCCAGAACTGGATCCAAAACACTTTATAATGTATAATTTAGCTGCTATGTACAGGAACCAACATGTTGGAATGACATTTATTATTTATACTCTAGTACCTCATTTGCATCTGATTATATTCCTGCAAAGAACCTGAGGATGTTTTAATACCTTCAAGATGCAATTGGGCTGATTGGACTGATAGAGTATGGTACAGAAAATTGCCAGTAGCGCGAGTTCAGAAACCATTGGACAATGAGGATACCACTTGGACAATGAGGACACCACATAGTGAGAGAATGAGAAAAGTACTATATTAATTCACCCTGTTCTTGCCATCAAAGTTTATAAACAGCCTGTACAAATTCTCTCTTCTTGCTGGGTCCGTCTGTACCAGTTAACCCCTGTAGCCTGCATGACAAGTCAATAATATGTGCACCTCTACAATTGTTACTTTAAACTGGCTGGCAGCAACTGGGCCATTTCCACTTTCCGTTCCTTTTATCCAGATAGCTTTGAGATGTATTTTGGTATCAGAATAAAGAGAAAAAGACACTACCCGAATACAAATGGTGGGAGTCAGAGTATTGTGAAACTGTGTGTTTATGTAAACTCAAACGCGAATCTATAAGGAGACCATACTACTTACTCCCTGTTTTCTAGGGTGACAATGATGAGGATAGGACGCCGGTTCATTCCTCCAACACAGCTGCTGTTACACATGAAGTTATACAGGATTGTGGTGAACTCAGTGCCAACCTGGTTTAAAAATTGGTGAATAGAAGAAAACATAAACTGAAGTTTTTCTGTACAATAATGCATTACATCAAAAACCTGCTGATACTGAGGCCACTGCACAAGTTTTGTAGCTCCACTGAACACCGTGTTGTCAAGTGACTTGCTGGGGTAACAGTGAAAACTTGTTAACAATTCTAACCTTACAAATAAGTCAGAAGAAGTGATAGTGCATCAGTTGCCGATTCTTATCACTTGAATTTTCTTTTCCATCTCAGGTAAAATGGGCAGACGACTCATTAGGGCAGGGTGTAAAACGGGCAAGACGATTCACCGAAATGGAGTACAAAAGGGGTTGAGGTCTCAATGGGACGGAGTGTAATAAGGGCAGACAATTCACTGGGCAAAGTGTAAGATAGGTGCTCAATGTGCGCAGCTACAATCATTAAAGCCATGTGAGCAACACAATCCCAGAGACAGTGAAATAGTCAATGCTGATCAGTGGCAGACTATTTCCTGCTCACGTGTTCCTTATTTCAAATTTAAGTAGCAATATAGAAATCAAGGGGATATACCTTACCTGTGGTGGTTCATAGGGCACCATGACACTTTGCCTCCCAGTAATTGGGTCCTCAACATACTGGGCATGGCTGCTTCCCTCCACTCGGATTAGGTGGCTTGGTGGGGCCACTTGACCTATAGGAACAATGTTTAGTTAAAAGGGAGTGATTTATTCATTTACAAAATCAAAGACAATGATATTTCCCCCACTGCTCATTTATTACATCAGGAAATCAAACAAATTACAGCAACAGATTTATTAGAGAGGAATACTGCAGATTTCTTTTATTCATTCACAGGAATGACAGCATCACTGGCTAGGTCACACAGCATTTACTGCCTATCCTTAATTACACAAAGGCTCATTAATGGGTAAAGGTCAGCCTGAGAGAATCAATAGCTGTTAATGAAGCCACATCTCATTTTCTGTTCAGAGACCATGCAGCCTTCAGAACTCAATATCAAGTTCAATAATTTTAGGTCCTGAGCACCTTCTGCCATGCCCTTATCCTAATCGCCACACATGAGGCCTTGTCACTTGAGCTGTTACCACAACCAACCCATTTGTCAGCTACATATGGTCCCTATTAGCAGCTGTTGATTCTTCCAGGCTGACCTTTAACCATTGTTTTGTCTGCCCAACTGCTGTTCACTCTCCCTTTCTGGGCTCCATCTCCACCTATTGTTTGCACTTCACCCATCACCCTGCATCTCATCTTCAACACAGACACCTTTCCTGACCACAATCAGCTCTAAAGGTGGTCACTGGACCTGAAATGTTAACTCTGTTTTCTCTCTAGATGCTGCCAGAATTGCTGAGATTTTCCAGCAATTTCTGAGTGGGAGCCTGATTTTATTGATTATTAGTGCAGTAACAATATCACTGCAGCACTCTCTCCTCCTCAATTTGTCAAATAACAACATCTGTTACAGCAGTGTGCTGATCTGCAACCCTTACCTGCAAACGCACTACAGTCAGTATTACATGCATATAGGTTGCAGTTCACTATGTTACATCTTGCAGGTATGTGGCATGAGGTTGGATGTTGCACGTCCATAAACAACTGTGTCTTGAAATAAAGTGAGCTTGTCTGAAATACAATCTCAACCTTCTCCTCAATGTGAAGAAACTGACAAAACCCACCAATTCCCAGTTACACTGGCAGCATTCAACCTATGGCTATCAACCTACCAATCATTTTTAACCATGGATCTAAAGTATTGGTTCTCAGCATATTATTCCAATTTAGTTTAACAAATACTAAAACTGGGGAGCGCTTAAGAAGTGTTCAGCTACAGGTCGAACCTGACAACTACATTCAAGAAAATTTAAGGGGCTAATGATTCGATTTAATTAGGGTATGATGCCTTGGCTTTTCTAGCTTTCCGTGCCATCCTATGAATAGAAGCCCTCAATTAACTTTAATAGGTGGGAAAATATGAACTTGAAAGCTCAGAAGTAAAAAGCTATTGCCAATATTACAGTCTAAAGATTCACCATACTGTTAATGAACATGTACTAATTACATAGTATCTGATTGCACACAGAAAATGAATACAATATGACACTTCAATGACACCAAAACCTAACAATTTGAAGATTGGTCAAAAAGAGTGAGATCATAAACCATTTTTTGGTTTCTCAGTTTTGATGCAGCATTGTTAATGAGCTATTTGGCCTTGCCTATCATTGAAAAAGCCTTAGAGTAGGCAACTTTAGGGGTTAATCACCTGTAGCTCTCTGAAAAGTACAATGTAAGGAGTCTACAGAGTAAAAGAAGGCAACACAGACATTCACGCAAGAGATTGAAAGTGTATTATTCTAAAGCACATCTAAAACTGTATATGAAAACCTAAATCACTTCAGCCTTAACAAGGCATTGTCTTTATGATTGTGCGTTTTGATTAGAGATGAAGAGTCCTTTATCAATCAGCAAGTGACTTGAAAAAGTGATGTGATTTTTGTGGCTCAAGAACATACAGATAAATGCAAAATGTTGGTCTATCAGCTTCCACTTGTTTCTCCACGTCCCCTTCTTCCCCCAGAAGCCCTGCTCCTTTAAGATGCTGATATTTAAAGACAGTTAGGTAGCCTTACCATCATTGAACTCTCGACTGAGCTCATGATTTGGGCATCGTTTCACCACTTCAGTGACATGCTCTGCCTTCTTGTACACTGGCATGGCCCGGATCACAGCTCCCTGTGGTGGCTGTGTCATCACTTTGATCTGAATGGGACATGTCTTGGCAATCTGACAGTACAATTTCTTCAGTTCTGGAGAATACTGGTAGAAACAGGAGAAACAGCATTGAGCTCGGGGTGTACATATCAGCAGTTCACTCACTTCACAGTTTTTGATTGTCCCCCTCATTGCATTTTAGCTGACAGCCTTAATTTGTCACAGGTGTGAAGAACATGTATATGGATTAGCAAGTTACATTAGAAATCTTACAAGTTTAAGTAAATTCTTAAATATCGATGAGCTGAATCTTGACACGTGCAAGATACTAATAGTCAATTCTTATAACTGCAGTTTATACGGAAGTTTACAATGTAGTAAAAGTGTATTGGAGTTGGAACTCATTGCATACCACTGGTGTTGAAAGCTCACATCACTGAAATAATCAAGGAGGACGGTTGGGTTGGTATTATAGAGTCAGGTAACACGGTCCAATTCATCCATGCCGACAAAGTTTCCCAAATTAAACTAGTCCCAGTTGCCCGCATTTGGCCTATATTCTTCCAAACCTTTCATATTCATGCACCTATCCAAACGTCTTTTAAATGGTGTAACTCTGCCTGCCGCTACCACTTCATCTAGCAGTTCATTCCATAGAAAAACCAACCTCTGTGAAAAAGTTGCCCCTCAGGTCCTTTTTAAATCTCTTTCGCCTCTCACCTTAAAAATATGCCCTCTAGTTTTGAGTCAATAAATGTGGAGCTGGAAAAGCAGGTCAGACAGCATCCAAAGAGCAGGGAAGTCAACATCTCAGGTCAAAACCCTCCGCTGGAACTGACGAAGGATTTCAGCCTGAAATGTTGACTTCCCTGCTCTTCGGTTGCTGACTGACCTGCTGTGATTTGCCAGTTCCACGTTTATTGACGCTAACTTCCAGCATCTGCAGTCCTTACTATCTCCTCCTCCGCCCTTTAGTTTTGAACTCCCCCACCCTAGGAAAAGACCTTTGCTATTCACCTTATTTAAGTCCCACATGATTTTCATAGAATCATAAAATCCCTACAGTGCGCAAACAGGCCCTTCAGCCCAACAAGTCCACAGCGACCCTCAGAGCATCCCACCCAGATCAATCCACCTATAACCCACCTAATCTACACATCCCTGAACATTACAGGCAATTTAGCATGGCCAATCCACCTAGTCTGCACATCTTTGGACTGTGGGAGGAAACTGGAACACATGGAGGAAATCCACGCAGACAGGGGGAGAATGTGCAAACTCCACACAAACAGTCGCCCGAGGGTGGAAGCGAATCCGGGTCCCTGGTGCTGTGAGGCAGCAGTGCTAATCACTGAGCCACCGTGCCGTTGCCACAAGTGTTCTTCATTCTTAACTGTTCCCTGGGACGTTCACCTCCATTATGGCCAAAATTCCAAATGCCAACATAGCCTATGTAGCAGGGAGTCATTGTCAACACTGCAACTGATACTGGCTGGCCAGGGTAGTCCAGGCTGGTCTAACCTGGATATGGAGCACATACACTAGCATAGAGTGCTTGGATCATATACCCTGGTGTGCCTTATATTTTGTGTAACCTAGGAAAGATCACAAATTGGTGCAATCTTCTCAATTTCATTTGTGCATTTGCAATGCATTTTTGTTGCCTAATTAGAAAGAGGCACCAAAATGTGTCCAACGGTTTCTTTTCAGACATGATTTTATAAACCTCTATGAGGTTACCCCTCAACATCCTGTGCTCCATCAAAAAAAATGTCCCAGCCTACCAATATAGCTCAAACCTCCCATTCCTGACAACCTTATGGTAAATCTTTTCTGAACTCTCTCCAATTCAATAATGTCCTTCCTGTAACACAGCAACCAGAACTGTAGCAGTATTCCAAAAGTGGTCTCACCAACGTCCTTATATAACCTCAACATGACATCCCAACTCCTACGGTAAAATGGTCTGAGCAATGAATGCAAGCGTGCTAAGCAACTTCTTAACCATCCTGTCTATCTGGGATGCAAATTTCAAAGAATTATGTACTTAAACTCCTAGGTTTCTCTGTTTGACAACGTGACCCAGGGCTGTTCCATTAATCGTGTAAGTCCTGCCCTTTTTTGTTTTACCAAAATGCAATGCCTTGCATTTATCCAAATTAAACTCCATCTGCAACTCCTCAGCCCATTGGCCCAATTGATCAAGATCCCTTTGTAATCTTAGATAACCTTCTTCACTGTCGACCACACCAACATTTTTGGAGTCATCTGCAAACATGCCTCCCAAATTTTCATCCAAATCTTTTATATGAAATGACAAAGTGGAGCTAGACAGATCCCTGCAGAACACCGCCGATCACAGACCTTCCATCCCGAAAAACAACCTTCCAACACCATCTTATGTCACCCACCGTCAAGCCAATTTTGTATCCAGTTGGCAAGCTCTCCCTGAATCCCATGTGATCTAACTTTATTTATTAGTCTACAATGCGGAACTTTGTCAAAGGCTTTACTAAAGTCCATGTACACAACATCTACTACTCTATCGGTGTCAATCTTTTCGTTATGTCCTCAAAAAACTCAATCGAGCTTGTGAGACACTATTCACCATGCATAAAGCCATGCTGACTATCCCAAATCAGTCCTTGTCTCTCCAAACGGATGTAAATCCTATTTCTCAGAATCCTCTCCAACAACTTATCCACCACTGACGTCAGACTCACAGGTCTATAATTCTCAGGCTGCTCCTTTCAACCTTTCTTAAGTAAAGGCACAACATTAGACACCTCCAGTCCTCCAGCACCCTACCAGTGACACTAGATGATACAAATATCTCAGCTAGGGGCCCTTCAATCTCTTCCCTAGCTTCCCACAACATCCTGGGATACATTTGATCAGGTCCAGGAGGTTTATCTATCTTTATTCTTTTAAGACCTCCAGCACTCCCTCTTCTGTAATATGGACTATTTTCAAGACATCAATATTTATTTCTCCAAGTTCCCTAGCCCCCATTGGTATTGAAGCTTTTAATTCAGAAGTGTTTCAACTGAAAAGGTCCTATCTGCCATTCACTCCAACTGCACCATTGAGTAACAAATTAAGGAAACATGGAGGACAGTTTCAACTGACATTTGTAAATAGCATTATCTGAATTTACACGATAACATTTAATGATAAATACGGATACAGCCTGGCAAGACATCACTAAAGTAAGCTCACTACAACATATATTCTGTAATTTAGTAAATTTCAAAAATGAAGCTTTTAGCATATCAATCCCTCCAAACCAGAGTTCCTTGGTATATAGAAAGTGCAGCCCACCATGACTGAGCTGACCATATTATCATTCTGAACTAATCCCATTTGCCTGCACATGGCCTGTATCCCTCTATTTCCTGTTGATATGTTTGCCTAAATGCCTCAAGTGTTACTATCATTTATACTTTTACCACCGCCCTTGGTCTATCACCCCATGTGAAAAAACCTGCCTTGCACATCTCTTTCCAACTTTCCCCCTCACTTTGAAACTATGCTCCCTAGCATTTCACACTTCTACTCCGGGAAAAGATTCTGACTATCCACCTTATCCACGCCTGTCATAATTCATATACTTCTATCAGGTTGTCCTTCAGCCTCTGATGCCCAAGTAAAAACAATCCAAGTTTGTCCAACCTCTCCTTACAGATAATATACGTCAATCCAGGCAACATTCTGGTAAACCTCTTCTGCACCCTCTCCAAAAGCTTCTTCATGTAATGTAGCAACCAGAACTGCACACGATACTCCAAATGTACATTTCTAATCAGCTACATCTTGACAAGAACCTTGGTCAATACAGTGTGGAGCTGGAGGAACACAGCAGGTCAGGCAGTATCAGAGGAGGCGAAGAGTCGACGTTTTGGGTTGGGACCCTTTGTCAGGACCCGGCTCTTGATGGAAACCTTTCTAGCTTCTCCTTGAGGAGCATTAAGGTATTTGGTTTCACTGCCCATGTCTGTATTTCTGTTCCTCAATTTACCTTATTAAGCTTTACCTGTCCAAGTTTTCATTCTGTCTGAGCATAATGATATAACCCTGCCTACTGGGATCGTTTCATTTGCACAGTAAGATGCTGATGTAATATACAGGCCAGCCTATGGAACTTTCACCCCACATAAAGTCATAGCCATTGGTCCTTTTGGAGTTTATTCTTCAACGAATTAGACTTGCATGAAAGATTTAAAAAACCTTAAAAGTTACCCTACCTAAGAGGCTAATTCCAATCAAATCCATATCCACTATGAGGTTTAATACAATAAGAACTTTTTATTTATTAATTACTTGAATAAATAATAAACTCAGCTAAAGTAGGTCATGTTGTTAATTTTTTTCATCCAGATATTGAATTTTTTAAGCAAGAATTGAAGATATTTAATGGCTATCAAAGGAAGTTCCCAGTCTCCACCTCAGGATGTTCAAAGGTACCTTAAGTGCCCTAAAGTTGAGGGGGAAAAAAAGACTCCTGATTGCTAATTATTCATTTAGCCTTGCTAGACTGTTGGCATGCATGGAGTTTAAATAAGAACAAAATCTGGAACAGCTACAATGTCCCTTCTCAGTACTGACCTGTATACTCTCACTCAATCTCAACGATGAAGCATTCTGCAAGTCAGCATCTCCAGAAAGCAGAGAACAGTGATTTAAAACAAAGTGTGTGTGCTTTTGGGAAGAGGTACGTCCCCCACTGTTCGAATACAATATGCATTAGAAGGCAAGATGCGGGTCAGAGATTAACCCAGAGGACAGCATGACCCCTGTCACTGTAAATCTGTCTTTACCTCAACAAACAGGTGAGCAATATCATGCAATCGCTCCTTGCCTTCAGGTGTTGTGCAGCTGACAAAATGTTCTTACAAAGTAGCATTAAGTGGAACAGACTCTGCTGTCACTACACATGCAAAAGGTCTGCACAAATTCAGAATTTTAGTTTAGGCTCACACTTCAAGTAGTTACAGAAATCAGGAAAGATTTCATGACGGTTTAACAGGGTAATATTCACATAGCTGGTGTCATGAATGCCTTGCTATGGATTCTCAAGCTGCAACCCCACCACACACAGCAGAGGC